GCTTAACATACATGTTCTTTGTCACCATCTTTGGTATTCTCTGGGGCATCTCAGTACTGTGTGTATATGTGTGTATAATATTATAAATATTTTGGCTAGGGAGTATGACTATCAAATTACATAAATAAAACATGCATATATACTATTGTTTCTATAATATATAGGACTCATATGAGTTTTACAATAAAATATTTATATTTTAGTCTGACTTAGTTCACTTAGCATATAGCCTTCATTGGAAATCACTTATCTGCAAGTGACATAATTTTGTACCTTTCTATTCTTTCTGTTTCTGATTAAAAATTATACACACACACACACACACACACACACACACACACACACACAACAATAGCTTTCTGCAGGTGTTAGAAGGTAAGTTGAATTAATTTGGCAGTAGGCAAATGGCGATATACACTTTTTATTGTTGTGAATGTTGCTTGGTTTAGTATTTGCATAACTCCAGTTTTCCAGTTTTCCAGGTTTATACATATCAGCTAGTAAAAGTGAAACCTTAATTTATGCAACATGTAAAAATGTCTACAACATTAAATGAATTTTGAGACCACTTGAAACTAACTGAATGTCTCAATGTCATCAAGAATTAATCTTGCCAGAAACATTGTATCCAAGTAGAAAAGTTTGGAGGAACTTCTCTGGGAAGTTTTGTTTTTGTTTTTGTTTTTGTTTTTGTTTTTTCCAAAACCTTCCCTTTTTTGTTTGCTTGCTTGTTTATTGTTGTTGTGGGATTTTGTTTTTGTTTCATTTTGTTTTGTGTAAAACTCCAAGTAAGCTAATTATTTAAACATTTAGCTGCTGAAAACTAGTATTGAACAGTTTTTTTAATTGTTTACAAGCTCTAAACACGTACAACAGACACTAACAAAACAATCCATGTTTTCACTTAGTATTTGAAAAAAATTCTAAGCAACCAGAGACACAGATTAATTCTGTTAAACTTCCTAAAAAAACCACGGAGAACTTACTAAGACTTAAGTTCTTTCTTTTTGTGCTCCAGCATTCCCGACTGCAATATTGATGAAAATCTATTTCCTGGCTTGATGATGTGTTTAATTATTCATCATTTACCAAATATATCCAGGAATTTTACATACAACCCTGAAATCCTTTATGTTTTTCATTGGAATTATATTGAGAATGACGATTCTGCCTTCAGAAAATAAACATTGTATACAGAAGAACTTAGTGTCAATATATTTATGTTTTAATTTTATACTCATCTGTATAATTTAATGGCCTTTTCAATAATATATGGTTTGATTTTTTTAGGTAATTTCAAGCTTTTGTTGCTATTGTGAAAACATCCACTTTTATATGAAATATCCTAAATAAGCTTTTCTAGTGCATAGCAGTGCTGTTAGCTTGGGGATTCAATGTGATAAACTCACTTACTACTTATTTTTGGATTGCACTGTATAATTACAAACAAATTTACTACAAGAAAAATATATCATTCTTGTCATTTTATTTGAATTTTAATATTTTTGCCTTTTTCCATTGTACTTTCAGATTTCTTTAATACAAGGATTTCATCAATTTTGTAATCACTATACAGGTTTATATTTTCTACCACTATGTATAATGTCTTGTATGTATCTAACACACACACCTTTTATTGAGTTATTTTTATCCATGCACTTAGTTGGTTTAGTGTTTAATCAGGAAGTAGCCCACCCAATAATTTCAACAGGAGACAATATAGAGAATTAATGGCCTGTAGAGTTAATTCTCAACAGATGTTATAACTATCATTTTTTTGTGGCCCATTTTGGCAAACTGCAAACTGTGTTGTATTCAAGAGTGTTATTCCAGGTCAGAAAGGTGTGTGCATGTGTGTACATAACATATAATATATATATATATATATATATATATTATATAGTAAATAAATATGTGTGTGAAATTAAGATGAGTTCATAAATTTGTGAGGGAGGAAGTTCATGGGAGGAGTTGGATGGGAAGAGGGGTAGATACAATGCTGTAAATTCATATTCATCTATGCTATACCCCCAAATTTAGAAAGTAAATAGGGATTGTATACACACATACACTTGTGTACATACACAGTTATGAGAAATTAAGCATTTTTCTAGATTTGAAAAAATTAATCTATTTTATTTTTACTGTTTTATAGGTGTGTATATTTACTTATAATTTTATTTTTTATTTATTTTATGTACCAGTTACAGTTTTCCCTCCTGTTCCCTCCCAACACCTACCTTCTGCCCATCCCATCACCTTCTCTTCAGTCTCCATTCAGATGGGCTAAGGCCTCCAATGGGAACCAACACAGAATAGTATATCAAATTGAGGCAGGACCAAGCTCTTCCCTCCTGCATCAAGGCTGAAAAAGGCATCCCATCATAGGTAATAGGGTCCAAAGAGCCAGCTAATGTATTAGGGACAGGCCCTGGTCCCTCTGCTACGGGCCCCACAAAAGACCAAGCTATATAAGTGTCACCCAGATGTAGAAGGCCTAGGTCAATCCCATACCAGTCCCCTGGCTGTCTGTCCAGAGCCCATGAGGTCCCACTAGCTTAGCACAGCTGTCTCTGTGGGTTTCTTTGTCATGATCTTGACTCTCCCTTCACTCATATAATCCCTCTAACCTCCTTTCAAGTAGGCACCTGGAGCTTTGCCCAGTGCTTGGCTGTAGATCTCTGCATCTATTTCCATCAGGTACTGGATGAAAGTTCTATGATCATAATGAGGGTAGTCACCAATCTGATTACAGGGAAAGGCCAGTTTGAGCACCCTCTCCAAATATTGCTAGTATTAGCTGGGGTCATCCTTGTGGGTTCCTGGGAGTTTCCCTGGCACCAGGTTTCTCCCTGACCCCATAATGGCCCCCTCTATCAAGACAAACTCTTTCATTAAACTACCCCTCCATTCTATCTCCAACTCAACCATCCTGATGATCGATCCCTCATGCTCCGGTTGCCCATCCCCTCCCCTCTATTCTCTTATTTCCATTTTACCCAGGGCTTCTTATCCATTTCCTTTTTCCAGGAAATATATGCTTTCTTCTTAGGGTCCTCCTTGTTTCCTACTTTCCCCGGGACTGAGAATTGTAGTCTGGTTATCCTTTTCTTTATATCTAATTTACACTTGTGAGTGAGTGAGTACATACCATGTTTGTCTATTTTGGGTCTGGGTGATTTTTTCTAGTCCCATCGACTTGCCTGCAAATTTCATGATTTTGTTGTTTTTTTATTTCAGTGAGCAATAGTCCATTATGAAAATGTACTACATTTTCTTTGTCCATGCTTTAGTTCAAGGGCATCTAGGTTGTTTCCAGCTTTTGGATATTATGAATAATGCTGCTATAAACATAGTTGAGCAAGTGTCCTTGTGGTATGTGTGCATCCTTTGGGTATATGCCCTAGAGTAGAATTTCTGGGTCTTGGGGTAGATTGATTCCCAATTTTCGGAGAAACCATCACACTGAATTCCAAAGTGGTGCATGTAAGGAGTAAGGTTTTTCCTCCCACCGCTGGTCTTCTCCTGCTGCTGTGCCAACCCCATTTAACACAGAGACACTCTGTATTTGATATAGTGCTGTTGGCCAGGTACTAGTTTCTTATCAGCTAGCTCTGTCTTAAGTATTAACCCATTTTAGTTAATCTATGTATTTCCATGTGGTCTTATCTTACTGGAGAGCTGGCTGGCGTCCTGCTCTCTCCAGACTCTCCACCTTGACTCTTCCTTACTACTTCCTCTTTCCTCCTTGTTTCCTAGTCCCTCCTCTCTTGCTTTCATATTGGCCAACAGTGCTTTATTCATTAACCAGTATGAGAAATATACATACAGAATGACATCTCCCATCAGTAGTACAAATTTGAACTCCCACAAACAATGGAGGAAGGATCCTCTTACTCCACATCCTCTCCAATATAGGCTGTCATTAGTGTTTTTGTTTGTTTGTTTTCTATCTTGACAATTCTGGCAGGTGTAAGATGGTATCTCAGGGTCTTTTTGACTTGCATTTCCCTGATAGCTAAGGGTTTTTGGACACTTCTTTAAATGTATTTCAGTCACTCAAGAGATTCTCCTGTTGAGAAATCTCTATTTAAATCTGTACCCCTGTTTTAATGGGATTATTTGTTATTTTGAGGTCTAGTTTCTTGAGTTCTTTATATATTTTGAAGATCAGCCCTTTGTCAGATGTGGGATTGGTGAAATCTTTTTCCATTCTGTAGGCTGCCATTTTGTCTTATTTACCATGTCCTTTACCTTATAGATGCTTCTCAGTTTCGTAAAGTCCCATTATCAATTTTAGTATCTGTATTAATGGTGTTTTGTTCAGGAAGTTGTCTCCTGTGCCAAGGTGTTCAAGGCTATTTCCACTTTCTCTTCTGTCATGTTCACTATAACTAGATTTATGTCGAGGCCTGTGGTACACTTGTACTTTAGTTTTTTTTACATCATTATTTGTATGCATGTGTGCCATGCATATGCATGTGGTTGTGCTTGTCTGCACATGTCTGTGTGTTTAGAAGTGTACACTGGATGTCTACTTCTGTGAATTAAACCTTATATTCTTGATATAGGGTCTTTTAGTTAAAACTAGAGTTTGCTGTTTCAGCTAGACAGACCAGCTAGTGGTGCTCATGACATGCCTGTGTTTGATCCCTAAGTGTTGTGTTATGCCTAACTTTAAGTTAGGTGCTAGGGAGTTGTCTTCAGGTCTTTGTACTTAAACAGAAAAAAATACGTACTGAGCTATATCCCTAGACAATAGTTGTATTTTTATAATATAGATTAATAACAATAATTTACTGTCATTGAAATTACATTACCTAAAATAGTCTTACATTTAGATGTTTCATATTCCTATTCATCTCAAATTTGTTTTCTGTTTGCATAGCACTTATTTTTACAGAATGCACATATATTGGCAACATGTAAATTAAAATAAAGAATAATTTCTTATGAAGAAATATTCATTGAAATTATGTAAAATTCATATCCCTAGTGGGTCAGGGACCCAAAGGTCCACATCCTTGCATATGGCACCGTAACAGTGACAGCACCAAAAGAGAGGTCTGCCTCAGCTTACCGTTTCCCATAATCAAGACACATGAATGGAGAGATGGAAAAGCAATTATACCAACAAGGAAAACATTGTTTAAAAAATGTTTTCCTTCAAACTTATAACTCCAAAGTTGTACAAAAAGGGATAAAGCAAAAATTACATACAGAAGGAGGAAGGCAACCACAGTTTTCAAGGCTTTTATGTGAGCTGTGGTACTGGCATCTCTGGAGCTTTTGGCAATGTGCTTTATCTTCTTCAGATGTTTCCACAGGGAAAAGATGAGCAGAAAAACATTGTCATGGACACGCTGAAAGGTATTAATGTGAACATAGTATCTGTTAATACAAGAAGCCTGGAGGTGTGTGTAACATTCTTTAATTTGTAGCTGTAAGATATGTTTGTTTTGAACTCATTCATACACATGTTTATGTGTATGTTTGTCAATAAAATATTTAAAAACAAGAGTAACAGAGACACCAGCAACACCACTGAAATAACCTTTTTAAATCTCCACCTTAGGTAGAGGAAAATACAGTTAGAAAAAGTGGCTATCTTGAGAAAATAAAGGATGCTGAGGATGGTGGCCAGCCAGACGCTAAAATGGTTAGAAATTACCCAGATAAAATTAGTCAGCCTTACTGTTTGTAGAGCCACATTTAAGTCTGGGTACACTGAAAATATTAATAAGATTATGTACAGTGACCACAACACAGTGATCCTGGAGATGGCTAGAGCAGTGAGGATCAGATCCACTGTAGAAATCTTTCGTCTCTTGACCCAGTCCACAATGTTCCTCAGTGCTATGAATCCGTTCCCAAAACTCCCGATTATGAACTCCACATTGAGTATTGTTGCAGACATCACTTGTACAGCAGCACTCATCGTCATGCTCTGGCTCCTAAAGTTACTGAAGAATAAGTGTTAATGAAATCATTTTAAATGTTAGGCCTCTCTCTCTCTCTCTCTCTCTCTCTCTATATATATATATATATATATATATATATATATATATTATAAAATGTTCTCTCATTTTAGGGTTCATATACATTAATGAACAAACAAACAAATAGGCTGAGATGGCATTATGAAAGCATTGCATTTTTGAAGTCAGGTGGAGTTCCATCTAGATGCTTTGTTCTATAGCATCTCAGCACATGATGCAGTTTCATATGCTAACATGAAAATTCCCATACATTTATTTGCATTATCTACATGAATTTGTCTTTCCTATTCTAATTTGATAACTTGAGTTCTAGGAAAGGACCATTCAAAAAAACTCTAAGTCATTCAGGAGGAAACAGGAATCCAAACACACGTAAGTTATTTCTTAAATAATAATATTTCAACACTTCAAATTAGGACTCTAGAGAGACATAAGTCCAAACTATCACTTATCTAATAACTTAATGTTGATCCTTAGTCCTTGAATAATTAGTAATGAAAATTACTACTTCATCAATTATTCTGGCAAACACACACACACACACACACACACACACACACACACCTTACATTTATTTCTGTCTCCATAATTGTCTACTTCAATGTGGCAGATTTTATACTTTATAAACATTTATTACTCATGTAGTTCATTCTTAGTATCAAGGTAGCCACTATGTTTAAAAGATAGTTTCAAGTGAACAAAAGGGTACTAAATAGTGATTCAATAAACTCAATAAACTTAGGTAAATTTTTCTTTTACATATGAAAACTAGTACAAATCTCTCTGACACCTATGAAGCAGTCACTAGGGTGAAGGGGTCCAGGCTTACAGTAAAAGTGCTGCTCACACTCTTCCTGTTCTTTACCCAATAGGAAAAATTCTTTGTGAGCATCAGGACTTTGAGATTTTTGTCTACCTCTCTTTACATCCCACTATTGTTGGCTCTATAATCAACTAACAACTGATGTCATACTCTCTGCTTGAGATAGAGAATAAACAGCATAATGTCACTGTTTTGTAACAGATGAAGAGAAAGAAAGGAAATAATGAAACAATTCAGGGACATCTATTAATCAATACAGAAGAGACACATAATCAACTCCCTGTGTTGTCACAAAGGATCTAGGTTATTGCCGTGTGTAGAGTCCACATACTTTGTGATCTCTGAAGGAACAATGAGCAAAGAAAATCAACATAAACTCTCTGGAAAATGAGGCAGGCCAGCATGAGCTATATTTTGGAAATGTCAGAAGCATAATTGTAGATTCATCTTAGAGTCTGAGAAGCCCCTTGGCTTTTTCCATGTAAGAAAGAGAGGAAGCTCCACTGTCAGAGGTCCCTTAGACTGTCCAACCTTCTAACTGAGACCCATGTTCAAAGGGTCTGAGTTGGTTCAATGCTGGTTTCCCAGCTATCAGTCTGGGGTCCATGAGCTCCTCCTTGTTCAGATCAGCTGTCTCTGTGGATTTCTGTAGCCTGGTCTTGACCCCATTATTTTTTTATCACTCCTCCCTCTCTGCAACTCTTTGGTTGCTCAGTGGTTACCTGTGGGTGTCTGCTTCTGATTGCATCAGCTTCTAGAATAGGGCTCTATGATGGCATATAAGTTAGTTATCAATCTCATTATCTCATTTAAGGTAGCCTTTCCACTGTCGCTCAGACTGTTAGTTGGGATCATCCTTGTAAGTCTCTGGACATTTCTCTAGAGTCAGTTTTCTCTTCAAACCTATAATGGCTCCCTCTATTAGTGTATCTCTCTCTCTGTCTCTCTCTCTCTCTCTCACTCTCTCTCTCTCTCTCTTTGTTCTCATCTATTCATCCCTGACTCAATCTTCCTACTCCCACATGTTCTCCTCTCCTCCCCTTCTCTTTCTCCTAACTCCCTCTCCACTCACCCCCCCACTCCCAATATACTCAGGAGATCTTGTTCCTTTCCCCTTCTGTGAGGGACCCTGTATGAGTCTCTTAGGTTTCTCCTTGTATCCTAGTTTTAATGACATTTGATTTGAAAATATTCCTGTTTTTCCTCATTTTAATTCAAATAAAACCCATTTTCTAGATTTGAATTGATTTTATGTGTACATGGCTGCACAGTGTTATTTTTACTCTATCTCACACACATACATATTCACTTAATGCTCTTTATTGTATAAAATAATCACTTCAAAATCTCATGTAAGAGTCATAATTCTACTAAAGTCATACCAGCTAATATAAACAATTCTTACATTTAAGTAGGACAAAAGTCATACCATTCTTTTAAAAATGTATGTGTGTGTCTGTCTGTCTCTCACTCTCTGTATCTCTCTCTCTCTGTATATGTGTGTGGTGTGGTGTGGTGTGTGTGTGTGTGTGCACATACCCAGATAAAGTTGTAATATGATTAGGTAGCATTTATCCTGAACATGACTAATAAAGTAACGTAGGATAAATAAACTTGAAAATATAAATTACTAATGAACAAGAACTTCTTAACAAAGCAATTCCTGTCTTCATTATTAAGAATAGTTGGCAAAGTATGTCAGGGGACAAAAGAGTCTACTTCCTTGGACTGGCACCTCAACCACCACAACACCAAAAGAGAGGCCTGCCTCAGCTTACTATTTCTCAATATCAAAACACATGAGTGGACCGAAGGAAAAGTAATTATAACAGCAGTGAAAAACAAAAGATTTTCCTCTAGAAGTTGAGATGCCCAAACTTGTGTGGCAAGAGTCAGAAAGAAACCTGTGTAGAAAAGGAGAAAAGTGACCACCGTTTGCAAGGCATTTATGTGAGCCACGGTGCTGGAGTTTCTGGTGCCCTTGACGTTGTATCGCATGTTCTTCAGATGTGTCCAGAGGGAGAAGATGAGCAGGGTAAAAATGATCAGCGACACGGTGAATGGGATGAGTGTGAACATTGTGTTGATTAAAAATATAAATCTGTAAAATTGTGTGTAATTCTTTGATGTGGAACTGTAGGAGAAATTTCTTTGCAATGTACCAGACCAAACATCAATGTGTATGTTCATCCCTAAAATATTTACAAACAAGAAGACGAGAGACAGCAGCAATGTCACTGAAACCACCTTTTTAAGTCTCCACTTTAGGTAGAGAAAAATATGGTTAGAAAAATTGGCTATCTTGAGAAAATAAAAGATGCTGAGGATGGTGGCCAGCCAGATGCTGAAATGATTTCCAATAATCCAGGTGTTATTTTTTAGTCTTACCATTTTCACAGCCACTTCTAAATCTGGATGTAGTGAAGATACTAGTGTAATAATAAGTGCAGACCACAACATATTTATTCTGGAAATTGCCAAAGCAGTGAGGATCTGATCCACTGAAGAGACCTTTCTTCTCTTGACCCAGTCCATGATGTTCACCAGAGCTATGAATCCATTTGCAGCACTCCCAATTATGAACTCCACAATGATGGTAGCTGCACATAAGATCTGTATGGCCATATCCGTCATCCACATGAGAATATCCTGATTTCCGTAGTCACTGAAGAATATTTGTTAGTCTGTTCATTTTAAATGTTTTTAAAGAAATTCATAACATCTTTCTAACATCCCCAATACAACAACAAATAAGAAAACACCAAGATGTAACCATTGTAGGGGATTGTAGTTGTATTTATGAAAGTATGATTTTTTGACAGTCTCACTAAGTTATACCCAGATTCTGTGAGTCCTATGGTAGTTTAAAGTCTACTGTTATTGAGGATGAAGGAAATGCTGACATCTCAGATGTTGAAATATAAAAAAGGACATGTTGATTTGCATTGGTATTCTAGTTTTTCTTTCTTTACATATTTCAATAGACAATTTGATTTATGGGCAATAAATATTCAAAACATTCTAAAGCCTATGAAAAAACAATAATCTCAGAGTATGAGAGTTCTTGAACATTGAAGATATTTTTAATAGTTCAGATTAAGACTCCAGGGGCTTATAATCAAAGCTCATTCACCAATTATTAATTATCTAATAACTTCTTAAAGAACATTATTGTTTAAGTAAATAATATTAAGAACAAAAGTTTACAGTTTACAACAGAAAACATCAGTACATATTCATATATAGCCATGCACTTATTTGAGATCTAGATATTTATTTTTCACTTCATTGGTATGTTTTAATTTGTTCAACATTAATCATGAACTCATGCTTTTTTATTATTTAAATTTGAAACAAGCTTATTATACATGTTAGTCCTAGTTCCTGCACCCACCCTTTCTCCACTGATCCCCACACCAACTCCCATCCCATCCCCTTTCTGCTCCCCAGGGAGGGTGAGGCCTTCCATGGGGAGTCTTCAAAGTCTGTCATTTCTTTTGGAGCAGGACTCAGGCCCTACCCCATGTGTCTAGGCTGAGAAAGTATCCCTTTATGAGGAATGGGCTCCCAAAGTCCATTCGTATACTATGGAACTCATGCTTTGTTGTAATTGACAAGAAATTGTTTCCAAGTATTTCCACATTAAACCATACAGTGGTAAATGTGAAAATTTGTTAAGTGTTGGGTAATGGGTTCTGTGTACATGGGAAGTGGTTCCCTGAAGTCATCAGTGAGGTGAAGCATCTCATTAACAAATATCACATAAAATGGTGAGATACTAAGATGGAGACATAGCCACACCCAAGATTAGGAATCAACCATTTCATTTTAACATACTGTATTCTTAGCATAACTGAGGGGGCAGGTTCCAATCTTTAGCTCCTACCTCAGAATGAAGATGCCACCTTAGATGCATAAGAGACAATACAGCCTTGACACTGAATCACAGTGTTATATTTGTTATCCAACCTTAAACTGTTTCGATCTTCCTGTATGTCCAACATGAATTAAAATGCATTTGCCAAATCAGTGTCTCTAGAGTTTGCATTCTACTCAGTTAAGGTATTTACTTTATGACATCTACTTGGCTATGGTCACCATACAGGAAATGTATGCCATCATCAGCAAGATTGCAGTAACAAATTAATTTATAAAACTGAAACTTTATTTGCCTAATATATTCTTTTTAGAAAACAATGTAATTTAATAGAGAGTGAGAAGAAATGCTAAATGAACAAGTATATAAACCACAAGGGAAAGTTCGTGGAAAACATGAAAACTTAATGCATGAATCTGACAGACAATAGGACCATGAGCTGGCAGCAGAGATTGACTGATGAGCTTGACAAAGTAAGATTCATTGAAGTAAAGGAAAACCAGCTTTATGGACTAGGTTTGTAAGACAGTGTTCTAAGACATTTTGCATTCTGAAAATGAAAGAATCAGAAGGGTGCATGGGAAGGTTGATGTCTGATGTTAGCCTTAAAGGAAAAATCAAAGCCATGAGTACTATTCCAAGGACACTGCTTATGTTTTCTTCAATTATCAGCAACTCTCCTGGTCTGCTTCATCTTAATTTGTTGGACCAGCTTAGATGTTTATCCTGGCTCTCTCTTAAGGAGTTTACTATTCTTATTTATTCTGTAGGGAGCACATACTTGCTAATATATCTAACAGTCTTCTTACTAATCACATCGGAATTGCATCTCTGTCTCCAATCAACAAAAGCCCAAGCGTTTGCATGTTTTCAGATCCCTATGAAACATTCAAATACCATAGGTGCTCTGTAATGCTTTATTTTTATTAGTAACTGTCCTTATGTATTTAAAATTATTCTTTTCCTTTTAGATTTCAATCTTTATATTAATGTGTTGGAAAACTAGCAAAATAACAAGGGGTTCAAACATCAGAAATTAATTTTCTCACAGTTGCAAAGGACAGAAATCCAAGGTCAAGGTCCATTGGGTTGGTTTCCTGGTGAGGCCTCTCTCATTGGTGTGTTGTTAGGCTGCCCTATCAGGCAACATTTCCTCTGAGTTTATGTGATCTTCCTCAAAACATGCCATTCATATTTAATTCCTATTATGTTTAAGCCCTTATTGGACTAGAGGCCTCCTCCTGACAATTCTAACTGCATGTCCTTCTCTCTAACTCAATCAGCATGTGAGATAGAATCAATTGCATGTTTTGTTTGTTGGGTTTTGGTTTGCATTGTTTTGCATGGAGTTCAAACAATTTAGGGCATGACAGATATTCTGAAATATAACCCTTAACAACACTTAAAATAAATCAGAGGGAATGGAAAGTAGCACTAGTATTTTTTGACAATTATATTAATTGATTCAAATTGTAATCATATATTTAGCCAAGAGTTCAGAATTGTAAGTATACTCCCTTTCCCTTAGAAGTATGACTTCACTGTCTTATGGAATATAATTTGATAGTATTTACCCCATACTTTCAACAGTTGGTTTCTGACATATATGTTTTATGTTTCAGTATGCCTGTGACAGCTGCAGTTTCAATGCAATGTATGCAAATGAAAATACATTATAAATTTCCAGTTAAACTTTAATATAGAGTGTGGGAACCATAATAGTAGGTTATTTTCACTGTTGAAAATATTTTCATTTTTACCTTGGTTCATTTTTCTATTTCTGTGATTAAAACAATCTGAAAAAGAAAGCTAAAGAAAAAAAGGTTTATTTTTGGCTCACAGTTCAATCCCAGAGAAATTAGGGCAGCAGAACCCTGAAGCAGTCAGGAACTGGGGGGCGGGGGGAAGAAGGAGGACAAGAATGCTCGCTGCTTCTCAACTTCCTTTCTCCATGTGTGTATCTTTTAAAAATTTTTTTATTTAAATTAAAACAATCTTAATTTATATACCAATCCCAGTTCCCTCCAGTCTTCCCATTCCCCACATCACCACCCCAATCCTACCCCCATCCACTCCCCAGGGAGGACAACTCCCATGGAGATCATCAAAGTCTGTCACATGATTTATGCCAAGGCCTAGGCCCTTCCCCATGTATCTAAACAGAGAGTATCCCTCCATAGGGAATGGGTTCCCAAAGCCAAGTCATACTCTAGGGATACTGACTCCATTGCCAGAGACCCCATAGACTGCCCAGGCCTTCCAACTGACACCACATTCAGGGGCCCTGGTTCAGTCTAATGCTGGTTCTCCAACTGTCAGACTGGGGTCCATGAGCTTCCACTTGCTCAGTCAGCTGTTTCTATGGGTTTCTCCAGCATGGTCTTGACTCCTTTGCTCATCCCCCTTCCCTCTCTAACACTGGATTCCAGGAATTCGGCTCAGTGCTTAGCTGTAAATCTCTTCTTCTGTTTCCATCAGCTACTGGGTGAAGGCTCTATGATGGGATTTACGGTAGTCATCACTCTCATTATAGAGGAAGGGCATTTAAGGTAGCCTCTCCATTATTGCTTAAGTTCTTAGCTGGGATCATGCTTGTGGGTCCTTATAGCTCAAGATCCTAGGCAGGGATCCAAATTGGGCCAATCTTTACCCTTCAATTAATAGCTCACAGTCACCCCTATAGACATTTAGATGTTTCGGGTGGGCACAGAATCTTGCCTCCTAGTGATTTTACATTCTTTTAAATTGCCAATTATCACTAACCATCACAGTTTATCCTGTATTCTGTTATATTTTTGTTATAGGTTCCTGTATGTTAGAATCAACTGAGGCACAGAAAAAAAAGGTGCTTAACATGCTATATTAGCTTATATCATTATTTTAATTTTTGTAAAATAATTTCAGAAATAGCAGTACATACTAAGTACTTTCAGCACATTTGCCACAAAACACAAAAAAGACTTTCTGTAGAGATAATTTTATAAACGTAATCCCAAAGCTAGAAATAGTATTTATCCTTTCTTCTGAAACACTAGTATGCTGTCAATTCACAAACAGCAATGCCAGCTTATACCAATTACTTAGCATTTTGAATGTTCAAAACACTACTTATATAAACCAACACCAAAACCCACAAATAACTGGCAGGAAGATTTAACAGTCATTATACTTAGGTGCAGATGATATGGGGCTTTATGTTCAAACGGGAATGAGTTTAAAATACAATGTAGATGAATTAGACAAACAGCTTAATTAAAAGTCATCAAAATACAAAAAAAAAAATAACTGAGATGTGCAAATGAACCTTAAAATGTCAGAAAGGTAAAACATGCAAGCTGTGTACCCATAATGATGTCAAGTGTCTTAAAGGCTCTGCTTGACAAAGCTCCAATACTTGGACAACTTGGACTGACCCCTCACTGCCTTAGATATATTTTGTTACACAACTCTTGCCCACCCCCCTTTTTGACATGTTTCATATTTGAATTCCTTGCTGTTAAGGGCCCTCCACCAAAAGCTAGAGCTGGGACCATGTAACAATTCGTATGAAGGCTTGATGTTAATAAGAATAAGATTTGTGATGGTCCTAGGAGAATCAGCTATGTAAGAAATTAAGTCTCCTGTAGAACCTATTATCTAAGTGCTATTTAGTAATCATGAGATACAGGATCTGGAAAACATCACTAAAGAAGAAAAACTTAGGGGAATTTTAGAAGCTGACAAGCCATAAACTGAATCATTAGGTTTTTGTGTTCTG